AAATATGGGAGTCTTAATGCAAACCTCTGTAGAGCACTATGTTGGGAACCAGGCCAGCTGGAATTCTGGAAGCTTTAGTCAAAAAATCTAAACGGAGTTTAGTACGTCTGCTCCTCAATAAGCAATAGACATTAATAGTTAGGTAACCCCCACGATTGGAACTTTTTAAGCTCAATCTCAACCTGTAAAACATCATGAGATAGTAGCTTGCCTAAAGCTAAACAGCCTAACTCTTCCACAAGGCATAGTAGGACTGTTGGCTCCTCAGGAATTGTCACTAATTTCTTTGGTTCCTGCTATTAAAGGGCAGTGTTCTCTTTATAGAGAATTTGTAGCTGAATTATAATAGAAATAGAAAAGAGTGGTCTATTCTGATACCTTTCCCGTTATCTTACTGGTTGGCAGTTGCCATGTGCTTTTTACCTCCATTTCGAACATGAGACTAGTATTTGTCAGGTTTCAGGGATCTCCTATCTGCCAAGAACAATTCATTTATGTAAATTGTGGACTTAAATTACCTTTAGTTTGATATGCAGAAGTTTAATGAATGCTTTCCTGGCAACAAAATATATTGCTCCTCTTACGACCACAGTCAATAGGGGCCACTATTCTAATTCCCCTGTGGCTGAAAAGGTTCTTGAACTTTTCACCCTACAAATGTAGATTCATTCTGATTTAAATGTAGCCTCTGTCACTCCCAATGGAAGGTGGGAGGAAGGATATTTATTTGAAGAGAATGAAATATATCACTATGGGTGTGGGAGAGTAACTGGGCATCTGATCTTCCAGTTCTATGATCAGATTTTGGCTCCACCTGTCATCCTCAATGGTTTTTAGGGACGTCCTCAGAAACAGCAGAAGCTTCTTTTACAGCATCAGGATAAGAAACCAGACGGCAGGTTTCTGTATAATCATTGGCAACTGGATAGTCCAGCACAGCAGCTTTATAGGGGAGTCCTCAGAGTATAGCAAAATCGACCTCACACACTCCAGAGTTCACAAGGAGACTTTTGTGCTGAAACAGTTTTTAAGAAAATAAAATTTGGGGAGAGCACTAGGCAGCTCAGGAGCATGATATTTGGACACCTTGAAGGCTGCACATTGCCTGCTCCTTTCCAGATCTAATAAGCACAGATGCTACTTGACTTTTTATGGGCTGTCTTAACTCATTGCTACACAAGTTACACTAAGCCATCTACTGGAGCGGAATGTGGAGGTGTCTTAATTGAAAGTGTGCTTTACTTTCCAGTGAAGGAAGGAATTTTTTTTTAATTTAATCAAATGGACAAAAGCATTGTGTAGAGTCAGAAGGAACCCCTACTGCTGCTACTAAAGGGTCATGGGAGTACTTGGTGAATTGACAAGATCAGGTTCTGTCTTTATTTTTCAGAAGCAGCCCCTGGCATCACTGACACTGGACTGTAGTACTGGTAACATTTCTTCCTTGCCTTCCCCAGAAATAAAAAGGATGTACTTTGAAGTTGGTAACTTCTAGTCTCCAGTTCACAGGTAGCACATCTGTGAGCTAGTTCTGTGTAGGTTTTGATAGTGGTCACTCCACACAAAGTGTTTATTGGCAACTGTTCAAAAAGAGGTAATATAAAGAAGGTGAGTGGGAAACCAGCCTTCCACGACCCTTTTTCTTTTTTCTCTTTTGGATATGCACAGTCCACAATGACAGCTCTTTCCTGTATAGCAGTGGTTCCCAACCTTAGGTAACCCAGGTGTTCTTAGGCTGTAGTTGCCAGAAGCCTTCATCACCAGTTGTGCAGGCTGGGGTTTCTGGGAGTTATAGTTCAAGAACATCTAGTTTGCCCACATTTGGGAACCATTGGTGTACATGAGTATCAATTTGCTGGCATACTTGGAGAAACAGCAAGTCATAAATTTGCTCCATCGCTTTTCTTACAGATGGCCGAATGCCCTTCCCTCTAAATCATGGAGCTAGTTCAGATGATACTTTGCTGAAGGTAGGTATCCTTCTAGTTGATGGCGCATAAGTGTTTTTGTTGCCATGGGGCCAAAATTCGCAGAGGCTTAATGAGGCTCTGGCCTCAAGAAAACTTCTTTGAGTCCGTTTGAATGTGAAGCTTGGCAAGAGCACTCTGTTATAAAATACGAGCCTTGAAGCTAAGGACACTAGTTATACAGAGCCTCTTATCAGACTGCTTCAATTCCTCCCACTTAAATAGCAAAATAAGAGACTTTAGAGCCTTAGACAGGAGAAAATGACATGAGAGAATTCTGAGTGATTATAGTATATTGGATATGGCTACACATATATACAAGGCAATATACATTTGGCAAACCAACATTCAGAGCAGTAATAACATAGAAGCAAATGACCACCAGACTTACTGCTGAGTGGCAAAGGTCTGTTCTGTCTCTGTTACATTTATACCCAGAACAGCCTATCACATTTCACCATTTACAGCTGGTCTTGCTTAACAACCATGCATTATTACATCATCTTGTTCCATCTGTATGCTGGTAGTCATTGGTTCACAGCTTGGGGATACATCTGGACCCGGCGCCATGGAAACCCAGGTAGCGTCCGTGGTCCATTCCGCCTATTTTCACCTATGGCGGATTGCCCAGCTGCGACCATATCTTGATGGGGGGGGCCCTCACTACTCTTGTCCATGCACTTGTAGTCTCGAGGTTAGACCACTGTAACACACTGTACGTGGGGCTGCCTTTGGGAGTGATGCGGAAACTTCAAATGG